ATGGTTTACGACACTGGACCATATCACTGTGTCTAACCACCGGTTACGATCATCCTGAGGTACCTAGTCAGAGAGCCTACCAGGACCAATATCCCCTGGTGAGGGTTTTCATACCCTCGTGTCAAGTCTTATTTAGACCGCTTTTGGCTTTTTACATTCAGTACCTGCCTGGGTAAACATCGCGCGCTATAGTAATCCACTTGATGACATGCATAACATATGCTCCAACCAACGCGATTCACGGAGATCGACCACTTGTTCCAGTGGACGAATGCAATTACTCAAAACTCAGCGCCTAACCTCAGCATTGCTCGTCCGGCTGCCCTACCAGATCAGTGCAATGCTGCGTAGACAGCGGTGTTCAAACACCGACAGTTTATTTTTATCTTGTTTTCCCAATAGTCAAGTATTTTGCCGTATAGCAGAACTGCCGAACTGCTGCAGCATACACTCGACCCTTCACAGACAGCAAGACGTCGCGACGGCGCCACAGATGTCTGAAGTTGGCAAATGCCAATCGAGCATTCTGTATGCGAGCTGACACTCCATCCGTGATGCGTCTATCGGGTGAGATGTAGCTGCTCAAATAGCAAAACATATTCACTTGCTCTATTACTCTCCTAGTCTTGTAGCAATATTTTACACTTTGAAGGGGCGAAACGCATACCGAGCATGGCCACATTGAAGCTATCCAGAAAAGTTGGAGACTCACCTAGATCTTCGCTTAGCAGTACAATGTCGTCTGCATACTCCAGATCAGACAGTGCCACCTAGGACCAAATCGATGTAGCTATCCTCGTACGAAGATAGGGATGCTTCCATACTCAGATCTATGGTAAAGTTAAATAAATAAGGAGAGGGCAACCCTGACGAATACCACTTACTCGGGTGGAAAAGTCCCGTAAGCTCGGACTCGGCTATTAGTATAAAGAGATGGTGACATTGAAATAAACTTCTCGGGCACATCCTTCAAGGAAAAACAGCGTCAGAGATAAGAGCGGTCGACGGAGTCAAAAGCCGCTTTCAAATCGAGGAAGACAGAGATAGTGAGCCTACGAAAAGGATGTCGGTGCTCCAGAATTTGGCGAAAAGTGAAGATGTGACTGATTCAACCCCGACCAGGTGTAAAACCGGTCTGGTTCTCACGCGTGCGGCAGACAATCGTGGGAGTATGATTCCAGCGAGCTGTTTATAGACGATGTTGATTAAACTAATTCATCCGCGGTTTTCACAAGAGGATCTGTCACCCTTTTTGTAAATTGTTTAGACGACCGATTCACACTGTTTGGTTGGAACCTGTTCCCTTTCCCGTATTCAGCCAAGGAATTTCGCCAACTTCAAGACCAACGTTGAACCTTTATCCATAAACGCTGATGGGAACAACCCAACTATCTTCTACGTCCATCTAGCGAGGGGTTTTACCGGTTAACTGCCCCTCGCCGTGTTTATTTGCTGAAGTGACCTCTCCTGGTGCGAGCGCGGAAAGACAAAGGAAGCCAGAATGTGCCCAGGCAACTGGCTTTGTGAGAGTGAGCTTCGTCTGGCCTCTACCCATTGACCTTTCAGGCATGATTGTCAAAAGTCAAAGTTTTATCATAAGAATAACTAACAAGCTCGTGCTTCTCTTGTCCTCATAGGATATTTATACATTTGACTCGTTTCACGCCGAAAAAGAAGTCCCATAGAAGAGAGGTGCAGGAATGTGAGGTGTCTGCTTGAAAGATTCAATAGTTTTCAAGATTCGTGATTTGACTAGAGTATACAGCTCCAGAAACAGAAAAGCAGTCTGGCCAATGGGACATCAGACAGCAACTCATAACAGTGTGCATCATAAAATCTCTAAGGCAGAGAAGTTTGAAAAACACTCAGTGATTCGCTGACTTTTCACTTAGGGCGGAAGGATGTGAGTACGTTACATAATGAATTATCATTCTACGATAACACTTTACTAACTGAATTTTTCAGTCTCCACTGAAGCTACTGCACGTACACAGCTAGAAGGTTAAAGCCTTACATTTTTCTTTTCTCTCGATCGCCGCTAGGTTAATCAAGCTTGTGACAAACGTGTTTTCTCACTTCTTCTCCCTGTCCACTAGTAAGTTAATAGCACGGAATAAGAGACCATCAAACAACCTATCAAGGGAAAAACATCCGGGAGGGATTCCTTGAGGAAACTAGTACAATGGTTTGCGGGGAAAACTGTAGTGTTAGACTAACACAACTCCTTTCCGAGTCAAGGAATTATCTTAAAGAATCTTCTATTTGATGGTGAGCTAAAAGGATGTATCAAAAAAGTGTATCAAAAGTGTATGAATATTTCCGTGTGTCGTTGAAACTGACGAACGCAGCATCATTTTGACTTCAGTAGCTTTTTTAAACTCAAAGCTGAGTTTGAACCCGTATGAGGGTTGATAGCCGACAGATGAGTATGGCAGGGGAAATGTTGGGTAACCGAGGGGTCCGTACGTTTTCATTACACACGAAGTGATTTGCAACAGAACGAGTAAATTCCATGATGCTTATCTTGTCCATTTATGGACTGACAAGTAGAGGGTTTCTAAAAACAAAGATCGAAGCTACATCATCATTGTACAGCGTAATACAGTGAAGTGAACTTCACTGATCGCTGCCAAACTCATATTGCATACAAGGTAAGTGATAATTTATAAGGTGGGCAGGGATTGAACCTATTTTAGGGACGGGAAATGAAAGCGAACTTCTACGGTCAACACACAGAGTAAACAGTTCAACTGTGTGTAGATACTATTTCAAGCATTCTGGTCTGATAAGAAGTGACAACATGATCGCCATTGCTGTCGGTTCGCAGCCATGACCTTCAGTGTCTCCAACCATGCGCTTATGGAGTCTTTTGGATCCCAACCGGGAAGACGAGAGACACCTTCTCTACACAATCGCTCCGTGCATTTCTTCATGTCTCGTCTCCATGTGGCTTTCTCCAGCCTGCAACAGCCACTGCAAATAAGGCGCGCTGTGGTAAACGACTGTCGGACATAAGCAAAAAGCGTCCTAACCAACGGAGCCTATTGAGCTGGATTCGATGCGATAGCGAGTTCTTGTTTGATGTATTCCCAAACACCCGACGACTTACTTTTAAGTTACTAACCCGCTCACTCCATCCCACGGGCCAGGCTACGTAAACATCAATTGGGGGAAAACTGCTAAACGACAGATGTCTTCTACCCTCAAGTTTAAGGTCTCGCAGCCGTACAGCAGAAGTGATCGTACGGTGGCGCAGTATACGCAATTTTTAACTTCAGTGAAACGTCACGTTAATACCACAGGTGTTTAAGTCCTGTGTAAGCTGCTCGAGCCTTGGAAATGCGGGCGGTTATCTACTTTTATGCGCTACCGTCGTTGGTCACGCAGCTACCTAAGTTCGAGAAGCAGGCAACCTCAGCTAATTCCTGACCATCTAGTTTCAGAACGGAACTCGGCGACATCCAGTCTTGCAGCATCACTTTGCACTTTGAAGGTGCAAAGCACATGCCGAACGGAGCGACATAACTTGCTAGTCTGTCAAGTGCTCTTTGCGCATCCTCCATAGATTCGAACAGGCAGGCTATATGTTCGAAGTAATAGTATATTAGATTCTCCCGTCTTTCGGTTAAACCACATAGGGTTGTCATTTTGTTTTTACCTCGCTTATTATCATGTCTATTCGATGAGCGCTTTGTGTGGTTCCCCATGTCAAATTCCAGGGCATGGGTCGCCGATTATCGTTAATGAGCAGTGGACATTACATTGTGATGTACATCACATTAGAGAGCAATTTGATATGCATTGGGCATTACTGTCAACGCACATTACGAAGGGAAGCTTACGCAAAATCCACATTTACGGAGCTCTTCCGGTGCCGGAGAACAAACAAACAACAAACTTGATCGAACATAAACCGATTCTTCGATTTTAGTTGTTAGGCACTATCGTTATGTGAACAGGGGAAGAGCTAACCCCCAAAGTCGTGAACATCCGTTGTCTGCTCAAAGAAACCGCAACTTAAGCCTCGGGACTTGAAAAGGCGAATCACATAAGACTCCAATAACACAGGTGTGGTAGAGACCGGGACGACAGCGAAGCTGTCTGCCACTAAAATTGATTGGTGATGGCGGGATTTTAACCTCAAACTCTGGGGTGCCATGTACACTGATGAAGATTTAAAACGCCTGAGTATCCCTACACACTGATGATTCTGCTTTCGAGCAAGTCATGGTAATAACCAAATAAAAGTGAGGCAGGGTGGCAGTTCTGTAGGAAAAAGAATATTGGAAATCAGTAATCAACCGTCGCCCTTGATGGCTAGCGCCTACGCATTCGATTATCATTAAATATAAAAAGATAACCGATATGACAGGAGCAGTTTCGGAAAAAGGTAAATGGGGGAAAACGGGAGAAGAGACAACGGAGCAACTGCATAGTGATGGGTCCGAAAATAGACTATATGAATGGCATGAATGCGACTGAGAAGAAACAAGGAAGAGGGAACCCAGTCCCACTACATTATTCAACGGCGGGTTGAAGTTTCTATAAAAACAAGAAGTTTTGAACAGCATAATAGGGTAAAAAGCCCCATTCAGTTATAAGCGGGAACTAAAATACTGAGACGGAGTGGCAGATTAGGCAAAATATCACGAAAGGAGTACACAATTTTTGCTACAACTAGTTATACTGATCCACACGTCATCCGTTGAAATAGTTGGTTATCTCGTTATTTTAAAGGACATCACAATCAGAGCAAATATTTGATCCACCCAGAGCAAGGCGATTACTGGACAGTTGATCTTTTTTAAAAGGTATAAAACTGCAAGGGTAACTAATAAAACTTTCAAACATGCGATAAAAAGGAAAATACACTGGAAAATGTTGGGGCTTAAAATCAGCCTATCACAAAAGTACAGACCCAAGAGGGCATAAAACTATTGCATGGGTTAGGGGCTTGTTTTTCATACAGTTAAAAGCAGGAACGAAAATAGCTGACTAACCGCAATCTTCAGACCAATCAAACTCCAGTCACTCTGTGTTTGTCCGTTGTTACTCGCCGTGCGACGATTTTCTTCGCGATTACGCTCACGCATCGAAGAAACACCACGAAACCACAGTGGCGCAATTCTTTTGCATCGCCCAATCAGAGCACGTACAAAAAGAGCCTCGCTAGGCTTAGGTACAACGAGTGATGCAGACTTCAGCTGACTTGAGTCGTTCGGATCGGCGACTTCTGAACCAGTATCCCTGACGTTGCTAAAAGCACGTTGAAATGTACTGCTTTGCAGAAGCTCATTTGGTTTTCCAGTAGCGTGAGTGAGACTGACTAAAGGGTCCAGTGAGTTGCCAACCCTTCGTTGTGATGTATCGGAGAAGTATTCAGATTTCACCTGATTAGACATCGATGAGTTTTGTACCAAATATCCTACATTTACATCCAACCGCTGACCGTTGCCTTGACACTGATTGGCAGAGACTGAATCCAATTGCGGTTTCATTTCCTCCGGAACAACATTGTATGCAACGCTCAGCTGATGTGAACCCACGGATGATTCCACGGTTAGCGGATAAGAAATGCCGCCGTGAGTGGGTTCTGTTTTCACTCGCACGGGGTTAACTTCCATACGGGTCTAGGAAATCACATGCGCATAGGTGCTATCGCAAGCCTGGAAAAAGGAGCCAAGTTGCGAATTAGTTCTCACGTAGCGCAATTTTCGACGAGCGCGCGCTGAAATTTCAGTTCAGGTCAGGTCACAGGACTTGTGGCTCGAGCCAATGTGTGTCCAGGTTC